ATTAATTCCCTTCCTTTTTCACAGCCCCCTGTGCTCTGTGTTAAATGTATTGTGATGTGTTTCTGTGCAGAAACTCTCTCGCCCGATACAGAGCTTTTTTTTTTTCTTTACATTGTGTTACGGGTTGAAACACCTCATTAAGTTAAAGCAATTCATTCCCTTCCTTTTTCACAGCCCCCTGTGCTCTGTGTTAAATGTATTGTGATGTGTTTCTGTGCAGAAACTCTCTCGCCCGATACAGAGGTTCTGCCGATCTTCTAAAGGGTCAGTATGTTACAGCAGAAGCGTTGTTGGATTGTGCAGACTTTGATATCGGCTATATGAAACCAAATTAACTCTCCTTCTCCACACTTATTGTTGTGGATACAGCAACAACTGGTCTTCATCAAGAGGAGGTTGTGATGTGTTTCTGTGCAGAAACTCTCTCGCCCGATACAGAGGTTCTGCTGCAGATTGATGGTGTGACCGAAGACAAGCTGGAGAAGTATGGAGCTGAGTTTATTGAACTGCTGCAGAAGTACTCCGAGTGGCAGCTGCCTGGTGAGGGCCTGACAGCAGATCATATAGATTATGTCCGCAAGATAAATGCTTTCCTGACACATTAAGTAATCCTATGTTACAGTAATCCTTTCTAGCTTGAACCTTGTTTTAGAGACTAGTATTCTAATGGATGCAATCCACAAATGTAGAAATGCAAATATGCTTCTATTAGATGTGGTCACATTTACTGCAGACCAAATCCAGTTGGTCATGCAAATTCAGCACTTTGACCAGCAGAAAGCTGCTTGGTTTGAAAGTGTCTTCTTTGTGAGCTGTGCTTCATACATTGCTATAATATTGACAATTGATTTTTTTATTTTTTTTGCCTTTGAAATATCGTTAATGTGACTGCAACTTTAGGGTGTATAAAGTTTAAAATACTAGAGATCCTCTGTTTTTATTAGCTGATATTCCTATTAGTTTAATGCTGCCTCATACATATTTCAATTTAATGTAATTTCAATATAATGTAATAAGTTCAAAATACTTAATATAATATTACAACTTACCAAAGCTGAGACACTTATAAGAAACCAGACTACGGTTTTGATTTGGCTAACTTTACCTTTAAACTGTAAAACGGATCATATTTCAGCTAGCTCAAAGCAGCAACCTATAAAGCTCTTGAAATGAAGTAGCTTAAGAGACATAATGTTCTCACACTTCCTCTGTAGCTGAGGCGCAGACGGAGAGTTCAGGATGGATTGACACAACAAGAGGCCATCAAAACGAGGAAGATGATGATGAAGGGGACACATCAACCTATTTCAGAAGCACCTCTGGACGAGGAGCAAAGAGAAAGCAAGCATCTTACTCCAGAAAACCCAAAAGAAGAAGAGGTACCGGCGGCCAAAACTCGTCTTCTAAAGGGTCAGTATGTTACAGCAGAAGCGTTGTTGGATTGTGCAGACTTTGATATCGGCTATATGAAACCAAATTAACTCTCCTTCTCCACACTTATTGTTGTGGATACAGCAACAACTGGTCTTCATCAAGAGGAGGAGGATACAGAGGTGGTAGTCGAAGTGCAGGCAGAGGTTCCAGGCCTGCTCCATCAGTCCCAGCAGTGAAGAGGCCCGGCTTCATGGCTTTACCCACACCACAGACTGCTGCTCGTCCATTCCTCAAACCAACATTCTCTCACCTCTAGAATCACTCTTAAAGGTCAGCAGCCACTTAATATGATTTCACAACTGTAAACCAGAATCTAACAGCTGTAGCCAACAACACCAGATCTTGAACATTAAAATCACCTTCTTTAATAGGTTTGCTTGAAGCTGTAACATTTTGTTCATGCTGTAAATGTATATTTGAAGCCATTGAAGTGCTTTATCTGCAGTGTACAGTAATACTCCTGAAAGTCGCTTTTTTATAAGTGTCATGGCAAATGTTCAAATTCCATTATACTTGCACTTGCATACTAAGCAGCATAAAAATATTTCTGTACAAAGTTCACAGAGGGACCTTGTGAAATAACCCAGGTAGTTGATTCACCTTCTTTAATAGGTTTGCTTGAAGCTGTAACATTTTGTTCATGCTGTAAAGGTATATTTGAAGCCAGTGAAGTGCTTTATCTGCAGTGTACAGTAATACTCCTGAAAGTCGCTTTTTTTATAAGTGTCATGGCAAATGTTCAAATTCCATTATACTTGCACTTGCATACTAAGCAGCATAAAAATATTTCTGTACAAAGTTCACAGAGGGACCTTGTGAAATAACCCAGGTAGTTGATCACAAAAATGAGTCAATTTAGCTGACAATTGTCCTTTACAGGACCCTTGCATTCATCACAGTCAGACCTGGCCATTCCGTACAGTACAAGTAAACTGTCTAGAGACAAAAGAATGAAGTAGAAGCTCACAAGTACAGTAGTAGCAATTGCCCTTGATCTGCTAGTCTAGGAAGGAGCACGCTAGTTGAAACGTGTGCAGTAGGATTTCAAGGGTGAAGAGAAGCGTAGAACTTCAGAGCAGCAGGACACTGACCGTTCAGAATCCAAACAAGATGACAAGTGCTTACAATGAGTATAAAATGTAGCAAATTTTTGCAATAATCATCATATAAAATGAGCCTTTTAGTTAAAATGCAATTTTATGTCCAACTTCCAAACTCCTTAGAAAACATCAGGTAGTCTGACTTGCTACACAACAACACAAAAACCATCAAAATGAGTCATCCGCATGATTCTATAATTCAGGTTATTGCTTATTGAACGGCGCTGCCATGCAGGACTGACCACTGAGGCTACATAATGCTGTCAATGAGTAAAATTCGATCCACTTCAATTGTTATTTTTCAAAACCTTTGCTCGTCTTCCAAGCATTTTTTTTTCTCTGCTCAAAATCCATTTACTGATACTCTGAATCAAAACTCATCATCAATAGCAAGCAAGTACCCTTCAGAGCAACACTTTTGTATTATTGTACTGTGAAAACAACCATTTGATCAGATTCTACAAAAATATAAATGGACGCTGTTATAATTTGGCACATCAGAGATGTTATAAATGCATGCATGAATACTTGTCAAGGTACGAGACATGCGTAACGCCAATGGCTCTCTCTCTTTTCCATGTATTAGCGGTTTTTAACCGTTTCTGCTACGGTTTTCCATGCACCTCATGTTTGTCTGTCATAGCTAAAACCGGTTTCAGCTCCTGTAGTCGTTGGAAGACAGCGGTTCTACGAAATGGTTATAAAGGCATGTGACCCGACTGCACAATTCGGCTAGTCAAACACATTACTGTTACAGTCAGCCGCTTCCTAAAACACATCTCAGCCGCCGTGACAATTTGTTCACTAGCACCATAGTGATTCTGGCCTCATACACAACAGCAGATTGTGATTGGAAGATTGAAGCATGTTCATTTAAAATAACTACTAGTAAAGCCAAGCTTGTGAGCTGCCACAAACTAATGCTATACTTAAAAGCTGCAATTATTGTAATTTATCGTAGCATGAATACCAATGTAAGATCTTACTACGGTAATTATCACTGGCTGTTACTTGTCTCTCAATTCTGGTCTCTTTTTCACTGCACACAAAAATAAGTCCGCTCCTTCTGCATGTTGCATTTGCTTCCTCTATTTTTCGCTTTCTTAAATACAAAAACAATTACATCAATAGCAGTTTCAAAGGGGCAGGCATAAAATAGGTCACGTATGGTAAAATAAAACTCCTGTCCAACTGGCATGCCACTGGAAGAATCGTCTGTCTTCAAATAAATACTATAGACTAATCAGGACGTAGTGTACTAAAGACTAAACCTGGCCTTTTAGTACATATTGCCAAAAACATCAATTAATTAAAATATGAGCATACACGCAGTCTTTTGGCTAAACTGTACAAAGTCATCAGTACTGTTCGAATACAGTGCCGTTACCAATATACAAAGCACAGGGATGGTTTTCTCATTACCGGTTAAGTGACTGAATTGGAAATGGATTGTGGATCTGGATAAAAATCGTTCCCGTGTTTCCCTTGACAGAAACGCCATAAATTCTAGACCTTGTCTGGAACACAGAGCTAAAAAAAGGTATAATTTAATCTTCAATAACAAAATAACATTTCAATTTCTGTTAAAATATACATGGAAAAACTGTCGATATATTAGGAAACTAACTATGTTTTGTACAAAAAGTACAGCATTGTTAGTGTAATTAAGAATAATAATAGCATGATATCCACAAAATACCAACTTAAGAGCAAGGTTGATATGGAATTAAAAAAATTACTTTATACAATGGGATTTCTTTCTACTGAGAAAGATTCAGAATGGAAAATTAAAAAATAATAATTATAATAATAAAGCAAATACATATACTCATGAAAAAAAAATACTTGGTTCTTAAAAACCAAACCCTTACAGTATTGCACATCTACTGTAGCTAGACCGGATCTATGGGTGCTAGATGCTTTTAAATCATTCATGATAACTTTAACAGATACCGACACTATTGGGTCACATGACATGACATACAATTTATACCAATTCATTTCTCTGTATCCATTTGAAAGAACCTTTTTAAAAAGAATTCTACTTCACAGCTTGCTACCGCCTAAACACAATTATATTCCTAAAATGTATTTGACACCCTAAAACTCAAGCCACCAAATACAGAATTCAAATGTACCCATCAGTTTTTATTCAAATAACATCATTTCCAGTCTTTCCTCAGCTTTCGCTTCCAAAATAACTTGCAGATTCTTACCTTACATATAACCCTCTGCTGATCTGATCGTTGATGTGGTAAATTATAGCAGCCTTCCGACACTATTGGGTCACATGACATAACACAATTTATACCAATTCATTTTTCTGTATCCATTTGAAAGAACCTTTTTAAAAAGAATTCTACTTCACAGCTTGCTACCGCCTAAACACAATTATATTCCTAAAATGTATTTGACACCCTAAAACTCAAGCCACCAAATACAGAATTCAAATGTACCCATCAGTTTTTATTCAAATAACATCATTTCCTGAGCGCTCTGAACTGCGCCTGCCACCCTACTGTCCACTCCTAACTCAGTCACGTCGCCCACGGTGGGCGTTCCCGCCTCTGACTCTTTCTCCTCCTCGATGCTGCAGGGGGCACCGTTGATCTGGCGTGAGACCGCCAGTTCCTGGCTGTGCTCGGCCACCGGTGTGGGCAGCACACTGTCGGAGGGACTGTAGGTCTCATCGGAGATTATCGCTGTCCCATCGCCCGAGTCCATTGCCTGGCTCCGCGAACGTGGGATGAAGGAGTCGCCATGGGACACGGAGCGCACTGGAGTGGAGTGGGCACTGTCCCGCAAGGATTCCAGACCTGAATGGATGGAAGAGGAAGGATAAGAGAGAGACAAAAAAAGAAGTTGCATGTTGGTTCTGCCATGTGTTGTTTCTGAAAACAAGCAGTTAATTCAGAAGATATAAAAATAATAATTATAATAATAAAGCAAATACATATACTCATGAAAAAAAAAAACTTGGTTCTTAAAAACCAGACCCTTACAGTATTGCACATCTACTGTAGCTAGACCGGATCTATGGGTGCTAGATGCTTTTAAATCATTCATGATAACTTTAACAGATACCGACACTATTGGGTCACATGACATGACATACAATTTATACCAATTCATTTCTCTGTATCCATTTGAAAGAACCTTTTTAAAAAGAATTCTACTTCACAGCTTGCTACCGCCTAAACACAATTATATTCCTAAAACGTATTTGACACCCTAAAACTCAAGCCACCAAATACAGAATTCAAATGTACCCATCAGTTTTTATTCAAATAACATCATTTCCAGTCTTTCCTCAGCTTTCGCTTCCAAAATAACTTGCAGATTCTTACCTTACATATAACCCTCTGCTGATCTGATCGTTGATGTGGTAAATTATAGCAGCCGTCAGAATTTACTAAGAGTTACATGACGGATGGATATGAATTATGCATAAACTCAGAAAAGCATTGGTTTTCAACTTTCTCGTGCTTTCAACATGGCCACAATTTAGTAATGCCATGTGCACGATTAGTAAAAGGAGGGAATTATGTTATGCGCATGATTTAGTAAAACGAGGGAACTAATTATTTCATGCACATGATTTAGTAAAACGAGGGAACAAATTATATCGTGCGCACAATTAAAAAAATTTTCCTGCATGTCATGTGCGGGGCACCGTAGAAAACAGCACCATCTGGTGGTAAGTAAAAAATAAAGCAGCCAAAAGCCTGTGAAAGAAGCTCCATTGGGAGAATTCCATAGGTCATTTCATGTTATGTGCACAAATAAAAGTCTGTGTGTTTATTGAATTTGACCATGGAAAAGTGAATTTTGCATCATTTACCCATTAAACTGTGGCATTAAATGCTAGTACGAATATCAATATGATAATAGAAGAATAGTGTACACATATATGGACTGCATATGGCAAATATTTTATTTTCTTGAAATAATTTGTATTCTTCAAGCACCCACCACACATTCCATAGGTAATTTCATGTTATGTGCACAAATAAAAGTCTGTGTGTTTATTGAATTTGACCATGGAAAAGTGAATTTTGCATCATTTACCCATTAAACTGTGGCATTAAATGCTAGTACGAATATCAATATGATAATAGAAGAATAGTGTACACATATATGGACTGCATATGGCAAATATTTTATTTTCTTGAAATAATTTGTATTCTTCATATTACTTGTATGACTGGGTATTTAAAAATGTAACTGAATAAGTCTGATAAAAACTCGTAAAGTAAGATCTGGGGGTTTGAACATTCCGACGCGCAAAGTGATTCGTGCATGTGATTGGACCATAGACTAAAAAAAAAAAAAAAAAACTTGGACGTAGTGTCCGTGACATCACCCGAAGGTTTCTGAAGAGCATTTTTTTTAAACCTAAAGTGGGCGGAGCCGGCCGTCACCATCTTGGCGGCATGTCACTCTCGGATAATCGAAAATGGGCAAAGAGGCGGGAGGCTGGTGGCTGAAACCACGCCCGCCTAGCTCGACGGTGGTGACAGCAGCGGCAATACACCTGTCACTCAAGTGGCCACGCCCTTAATTATGCAGAAATTTAAGGCTTAAAGGGGTCATATGATGCGATTTCAAGTTTTCAAAAAATTAATTAATTAAAAAATTAATTAATTTCTAAAAAAAAATATAAATGTGTGCACTGTGCTTGAGGGAGAATATTAGAAGGGTCTCATGCAGGTGACAGATCCAAATACTGAATCACAGGCCTAGAGTGCAGTAATGCGCTCGGGGCAAAGCAGACCAGAACGCTAATATGAAAAGACATTTCCCAGCTCGTTTGCTCTTATAGACACTGTACTTCAAGCCACCACAGGCCTCAGCAAAGCACTGGGAATCACACATACTGACAGGCAAACAGCCAACTTGCTGAGGCGTTGTAACAATTAGCAGCACATGGTAAATCAAAAGGACTAGACCTCACTATACAACATGCACATGTATATATAGCACTTACGTATAGGTAATGCAAATAATTCCAATGATAATTCCAACTTCTCTTTGCAACTGCAGTATCATATAAAAGTTTCCCAAATACTTAAAATGTAAGAACTTAAGATTTTTTTTTAGTATTTGAATGTAGTTATGCTCACCAATTCTACATGTATTTAATCAAAAATACAGTAAACAGTAATTTTGTGAAATATGACAATTTAAATTTTAATATATTTGAAAATGTAATTTAGTCATGTGATGGCAAAGCTGTCTTCAATGTCACACGATTCTTCAAAAATCATTCTAATATGCTGATTTAGTGCTCCATGAAACATTTCCTGTTCTTATCAATGTTGAAAACACTTTTGCAACTTAATATTTTTTATCATTTTCTTTAATGAACATAAAGAACAGATGTATTTACTGTCGCTTTTGATGTCATATGATGCGATTTCAATTTTTCCTTTCTCTTTGGAGTGTTACAAGCTCTTGGTGCATAAAGAAGATCTGTAAAGTTGCAAAGACTAAAGTCTCAAATCCAAAGAGATATTCTTTATAAAAG